TTATGTCATTTTGACGCAAGCTAGAGTCATGTGAGGAGGGAATCTCAACAGAGAAAATGCCCTGTAAGATTGGCCTATGGGCAAGTCTGCAGTACATTTTCTTAGTGATGGATGTGGGAGGGCCCTACCCACTGTAGGTGGTGCCACCCCAGGAGTGCTGATCCAAGGTGCTAGAAGAAAGCAGGCTGAGCTGGGCAGTGGTGACGTATGCCTTTAATCCCAGCACTCGGGAGGTAGAGACAGGCAGATCTCTGTGAGTTCGAGGCCAGCCTGGTCTATAAAGCGCGTTCCAAGGCAAACTCCAAAGCGACAAAGAAATCCTGTGTTGAAAAACCAAAATACAAAGCAAACAAAAACAAAACAAATAAAAAACAAAACTAGACTGAGTCCGCGTTGGTGAGCAGCCAGGCTTCTGCATCAGCTCTTATCTCTAGGTTCTTTTCCCTGTCTTTCCTGTCTTGACTTTCCTCAGTGAAGGACTGTGATGTGATAGTGCAAGCTGAAATAAACCCTTTCCTCCCAAGTTACTTTTCGGTCATGGTGTTTTATCACAGCACTAAAAACTCTATGACAATTCCCCTCCTCTCCTTTCTACAGCTGCTGCCCACCTCTATGCCCCGCCTTAAAGGCAGGCCTTTTCTTACCGTCTTCCTCCTCCCAGCTGCTGTTGACATTTACCACATGCCTGTCCTGTAGTGTTCCTTTCAATTTTTTTTAAAGACATTTATTATGTATACAGTGTTCTGATGCCATGTGTGCCTGAAGGTCAGAAGAGGGCACCAGAGTTCATTACCGATGGTTGTGAGCCACCACGTGGCTGGGAACTGAACTCTTAACCACAGTGCCATTTCTCCAGTCCATCTTTCAAACTTGTTTGTTTTTCAAGACAGTTTCTCTGTAGCTTTGGAGCCTGTCCTAGAACTCACTCTATAGACCAGGCTGGCCTTGCACTCAGAGATCTGTCTGCCTCTGCTTCCTGAGTGCTGGAATTAAAGGCATGCACCACCACTGCCTGGCTTCTTTCAAGCTCTAAATGGTTCTAGACTGTTAAAAAAAAAAAAGTTCAAATAATTTAATTATTTAATGTGTGATCATAACCCTCAGGCTGCTTTCCCTGCAGTCTTCTAGTTACATGACTTGACAGCTGCTCTTACTTCAGTGAGTCAAATTACATTCATAGGGAGAACTAGCTAAGCCTAAAACAGCATGTAAACTTGTTAGAGAATTCTGGTTACTTCGCTCGAGGTCACCTCCACTGCAGTTACTCAAGTCTTTTCATTATGAAGATTATACACTTTTATATTGCTAGGCTCTGTCTGATGTTTTGTCTACTAAACTTGAATTGTTTAAAGATTATGCTCAGCCAGGCTGTAGTGCTGCATCCTGCTAATCCCAGCACTTGGGAGGGAGAGGTTTTATTATTATTATTATTATTTAATTTAAAAAGCTTACTTTTCACTTTACATACCAACTCCAGTTCCCTCTCCCTACCCTTTTCCCGCTCCCCTCCATTCCTCAGAGGGGGTAAGGTCTTCCTTGGAAGAGTCCACAATGTCTGACACAAAAGTTGAGGCAGGACCAAGCCCTGCATCAAGGGAATGAGTTTTTTGTTGTTTTTTGAGGCAGGGTTTTTTTGTGTGGCTCTGTAGAGATTTGCCTTCCTTAAAAGGTGTGCACTTCCACTGCCCAGATAGAACTCATTTAAATTTGCTATTTTGAACTTTGCAGCAACTGATTACTTCTGTTCCTGCCTGTTAAAACCTCTGGGGAAGCAGGGAGGAGCAAAGCATGTTTTTCACTGTTACAGACCACAGCAAAACACAAGTCAACCCCACTTCTGTTGGTGTAGAATCCTGCACAATTTTGGATTAAAAACCTTCAAAATAGTTTGGTAGTGCTGGGGAGATGGCTCAGTGAGTAAGGTGCTTGGTATGTAAATATGAAGAATTGAGTGTGGGTTCCCAGCACCCACATAAAAAGCCACACAAGGTGGCATGCACGTATAACCCCAGTGCCAAGGCAGAGCAGGATGATCATAGGGGCTCGCCGGCCTGTCAGGTCAGCCAATTGGTGAGACTGTCTCAAAACATATACATCAGTAAACAGTGAGTAAGATACCCAGTAGCAACCTCTCACCTTCACACACACTGGTGTACAGAGACACATGCAGAACAAAAACAAGCTTACTCCAAAGAGTGTGTATAGTTTTTTAAAGACCAGGTTTCTGTGTAGCTCTGGCTGTCTTGGAACTCTGTAGACCAGGCTGGCCTCAACCTCAGAGATCTGCTTGTCTCTGCTTCCCGAGTGCTGGGATTAAAGGTGTGCGCCACTACATCCCATAGTTCATTATGTTTAATCTTCCTGTAAACTGGGGCCAAGTTCAAGAACATAGTTATCCCCTAGGTAATTTTGTTGGTTGCAGGTGCACATGTGGATAGGAATACGTTGGCTTTTCCTTAGGTGCTGTCTACAGGGTCTCTTACTTGTCTGGAACTCACCAACTAGGCTACACTAGCTGGTCAGTGAGCCCAGAGATACCCGTCTACCTCACCAACAGACATTACTAACATGGACCATGAGCCAGTGCAGTTTTAAGATTTTATCATTGTATGTTTATATGTGTGTGCATGTATGCCAAAGAGTGTATGTGGAAGTCAGAGCCCCAATTTTTGGGAGTCAGTTATCCACTTTGTTGAGGCTTAGGTGAATGGACTCCCAAAGACAGTTCCTTTGGAGATACAGTGGCACTTGCCCCTCCCAACAAAAAAGTCCCCAAACTATTTAGGCTGAACACGGATTAGCGGAAACGAGCTGCTCAACTCTATTATCATTATGATTAATTCATTTTCTTTCAGGAAGTAAGTACTGGAGAACTGGTGGAGTAAGCAACATCTTAAACAGCAGAGTAAATCCGGTGTAGTGTGTAGTAGTGACACTTGGAAATGCTGCCATGGGTGGCTCAAGGCCAGTTTCTGCTCTGTATAGAGTTTGAGGTCAGCCAGCCTAGGCTACATGGGACCTTGCTTGTAGAGAGAACAGAGCACAAAACCCAGCCCTTTACCCATGGCCACCACTGTCAGTTTGAGGCTGACCCTGTAGAGACCCTTCCTGGGTGAGTTCTAAGGTACTCGAATGGATGAGTCACTCACAACACAGCAAACTTCCCAATTCCCTTAGGAACTGATATTTAGGGTTCACATTAACTTAACACGTTAGCCTTGAATTTTGGTTGTCAATAAACAAACTTTATTAATAATTCCTTATGTAATGAGAAGCTGAAATTCAACGGCTAATTCATGCCAGCATACACATTTTCTTGTTTCATTCCATTATCCACAAGGGTTTTGAATGTTCAAATTCCACTGTCCATAACAAATTGGTACTCCAGGGTTTTCTTAATCAAGGGAAGCTACTCATTATTGGGCCAATCAAATAACACAAACTACTAAATGGACTGGAGGATTTTAGGTGAGGCTTCCTCTCAAAACTTGGGAACAAAGGGAAGCTACAGAGTTCACAGGATTGACTTTTGAGATTATTGAATTGCAGTGAATGGACAAAGCCTGCTTTATGAGAACAGAACTGGCCCTACCCATGCAGTCTTGGGAATGTCAGCACACCTCAAGAATATGCCAGGCAGGAAAGATGGTGAATTATAGACCAGGAAAGGGGACTCACAAAGACCTGGCTGGGCACAATTTAGAACTGGAATAACAAAAGAACATAGTTGGAGCATGTCAGTACCACCAAGATCACTAATGATGAAGACAGGTATTTCCAACAAGTGTCTGACTCGGCTTTCACCTGTTGAACTTGTACAGAAGTGCCTACATTCTAAACACACACCCTAGTATCAATGGTCTCAATATGGAGTAATGAAGAAAACCAGGAATGCATTCATGCTTCAGCCCACCTATCTTAAACCAACATGCACAGAAGAGTTAAACTTGGTCCACTCACGTTTCCCCAGTGTGGGCTTTGCTGACTTTTTCCCTATGTAAATGCGGTGAGTGGATCCTACTGCTGCCCAAGAGAGGCTCCCTGAGGGAGAAATGCTGAATCAAGAGAAATACCAAGTCAAAGAGTTTCCAGATTTTCCTCAGCAAAGAAATTCTCAGAATCTTCTGGCAAATTAAGCCCACTTTTTGAAGTCCTTTTTTCACTTAGATAAGATTGGAAATAACTTAAACACTGATCGAGGCATGGGTGGAGGCAGAAGAATGGATTAATTTAAAGCCAGCCCATATCCTTGTTATAGAGTAAGACTGTATCTCAAAAAACTCAAACCAGAAAGTTTCCTCTTTCCTAGATGTTATCTAAATGAGCCATCTACATAATGCAGGAACAAATCATGTTCCGTCCATGCATATATAGGTATGGCTTATTCCTCAGGCTGGCTAAGTAATAAAATCAGATTTTAATTTCTCAGATAAGAAAACACACTTTTTGAAACCTCTTAAGGCAAGATATTTATAACTAATTAAACATTTCAAGCTGGTTCTCTAAAGTAAATCCTAACAAAAGGGACAGATAGGCCCAAAAGTTTGGGAGTCCGGTATAACTACTATCTGTTGGTACAAAGGATGCACTCATGACACCCCGTACCACGGAAGACATCTGAGAAGGCTGAACACTCTGAGTACCAGGGAAGACTGAGATGCACATCGACTGCTCTAAGGTTACCCGGGACTGGTACCACTGCCTTTCATTGCTACTACCTGCAACTAGAAGACATGGCAAGGCCTTCTCCACCAGTGGACACTGCCACTGAGTTGGTAACGCAGGCCTCCTGGAAGACTTTTGCAAACAAGCATTCCTTTGCTTTGGTCCCGAAAACTGCATGTTAGTAGCTAAGGCAAATATTTAGGAAGCACATGTTGATTTTGGAAAATTGGTTGAGAGAGGTAGACAGGAAGCCTCTGGTTACAATGTGCTTTTGCAAAAGGGTCACAAACCTAGGGAAACACACCTTAAGAATGAATCACTCTTTTATAGGACAATTTAAAGATAATGCTTTTTAATATTTTCAAGTATTAAAAAACTCATCAAAAATGTATCACCTTAACAGTACTTCGCACATGTGAAAAGTCACACCTAAGTTTGATACTATTTTGGTTATTTATGGCTACTTACAAGACTCACAATAGAATGTCCATTCACTGAGTCTTTTTTCTTTGGTAGAGTCTAATGGGACCATGCAGATGAACTATTTTAAGCAAACAAGATGTTTCAAGCAGATTCATGATGATATGAAATATGAGGGTTTTCCTTAGTGGAAAGGAAACTTAAGAAGATTCACACATTTTCCCCCATTGTGGTTTTAGCATCTTGTTCAGAGGTTGCAGAGTTGGAATAGTTCACACAATCCTGTAAAAATCACGACTGACTGCCTTTTAATAAATAGTCATTGTAAAGAATTACATTTACAGAGTGAAAAGTGAATACATAGCATTTCAATGTCAATTCTGGAAGTACTAAGTGTACTGATCCATAGCATATACACTATCTGTATAACTGTCCATCATTAGCACCAATAAGATTCAACAAAATTACCTTTATTCCCATACCTAAAAAACAAAAAAACCCCAACACATTTCTGAAAATCCTTAGTGAAGTTTAACTATAGTCCCAGACCTTAAATATTCACATTGTTTTCTATGTCACACTGAAAATAAGTAAATAAGTTCACTACTTTTCTGGATACTCTTTACAAAAGCTGATTAAAATTCCTGGCATCACTCCCAATGATACAGTAGCATGACCACCCCATGTCAGTTCACATGATGCTCTGTCGAGGTTTCACATCTAAGTCACCAAGAACAAAACCCTTCCCTCCCTCACCTTGCACTGTTTAATTCTATGCTAGTCCTTGAATATTACCACAGTGACACTGTAACTGCATCAGAATCACCATGTTTATGATACAATAGTATACCACACAGCAACAAAATCACATAGTAACAGATTACTGATGCAAGACAAAACAGAGCGAGGATGAGCCTGCTAGGCTGAGTTCCCACAAAGAGGCTCCTGACATCCCAAGTTCAAACAACATTGACCAAATAATCAACAATTTTCTTTAAAAAACAAAAAAACAAAAAAACAAAAAGCTACTGGCAAATTGAGTAATTGCTAAATAAAAGGAAAGTACAAGGTTCAACTCTAATATTTACAAGCACAACATACTGAATAAAATTACAATTGTGCACAGATCAGTGGCTTTATAACAAAACAGTTCATATACAGAGGAAAACTGTGATTCAAGACAAGTTGAATCCGACCCATTTTAAGAGACTCAACAGCTAAGACTTACCACAGAAATAAATTCAAGATTAAGCAACAGACAAGAGCCATACTATTGGTGCTTACACCAAAATTTAGACAAGTTGGTCTATCCCCTGACCAGGCGTCAGGTGACAGTGCAAGCCTCACCTCAATGAGAACCTACTAAGACGTGCAAACGAATGTAAAACCTCCAGCAGTGGCTGGCCTGAGGCTGGCCTTTTTCCTTACATTTTCCTGATAATGACCATAAGCTATAAATACAGGTACAATGCACAATCAGCAATGTTTTCTTTTTATTTATTGTTAGAATATAAAAGAATCAAGAGAGCATAGGTTTAATTTCATTTTTATAAGGAAGACTGCATTTACCTGAAAAAGAAATATGGTATCTCTCTCTTTCTCACCCCCACACTCACTCACTCTCTCTCTCCATGGGAAGAGTATATTCAAGACTATGGTGTCACTGCAAATGCTAAAGGAAAAGTGATCCCTGTTCACTGTTAAACTCTGTAGTGTCAAAGTCCTTGAAGAAATGGACCAATTCTCCATTGGGAGCTCCTGTGAGTTAAGTCACAGTCCTCCCCACGCCCGTTATTAACTGCTCTTCTACAGCACTGCAACAAGCCAACAAACATGTAAATGCACTTCACATCAAGTGTATGTAAACTTTATTATTATTTTTTCCTCTTCAAGCCTTCAGAACTTAGGGGCTGACTCTGCAGCCAATCTGGTCAGAACCTCTGAAGGCAAACTGAGAGCTTCCCAGTGTTAAGGACCACCCGTGGCACCGCATCCCGTCTAGTAGTGAAGTGTCCCCTCAGCGGCTTCCAGTAAGGCCTAGAGTTTAAGGTTAACATAAAAAAGTGCCACTTGTGTTTTAGATTAGTGATGGACTCTGACGAGAGAAAATAAAGTTATTTTGTATATTGTTATACTTACAAGCAGCTCCGATCCTGAGTATTTATGGTAATATCTAAACATACAAAAATGTATGTACATTTTTCTCCACTTTCTTGTAAACAGTTGTCAGTATTCTGTTTTATCCCTTTATCACTGAGACATGCAAACCATACATACAAGTATAAATACACAAAAGAAAAACAATTGACACTCATTCAAAGCCAAGCAACAACAAAAAACAGCTACAGTATTCAAATTATAAATAACAAAAGCTTGAGGCAGCTTAGATTCCTAGCAGCAGCCAGCCATTCATCCTAATGTTCTTAGCTGCATCTTCCATGCGTTTACAGTACTGGTAACACTATCGTATGTGGAGATAGACTTGTTTACTAGCATCTCTTCTTTTCAGAATGAAGAAAAAAGCAGCACTTACAAATATGGAAGCAGTGGCACCACTGCTGGACCAGGAGGAAATTTTCCATTCCAACCATTTTTAAATTAAAAAGCAAAGGAAAAGTTGACCTAAACAAATGATTACATATTCATTCCTTGGGCACTTAGCAGCGAGTCCAGCATGTCGAATGTGTCTTTGTAGTCCAAATGCTGGCTGCTTGTACTGTACTCGTGATTGGCCTCAGGACCGTGGGGCTCCACTGGTTTCTTGTCCAGTTTCACGAGGGTGCTGAGATGTCCGTAGCCCACCTGGTATGTGACAGGGGGAGGAGGGGGTAAGGGATGGTTAAAAACAGAGCTGTGAGAGGACAGATACTGCTTAACAGAGGAAGAACTAGATGAACTACCTGAACTTTTGGAACTTTTGCTCATTTTGGAGTGGTGGTTGTGGGAGGCATCGTTGATATGCAGCTTCTTCCTTGCACTGGAGCTGGAGGAGATGCCGTCGGGGCCCAGGCCCACAGGACTCCTCAGCACAGTAGGCGGCATCCCATCAGCAGCATGCTTAACGCCTCCGCTGTGCATGTGCAAATGCTTGTGGCTGCTGTGGTGGCGGTTGGCAGGATGTTCCTTGTGCTTCTCCTTGTGGTCTCTGCTGATGTGTGGGCTCGAGTGCTTGCTCTTCCCACTGCCTTCATCTGAAGAGCTGTGTCTTTCTGAGGACACTTTGATCTTCATCTTCAGCTCCTCTTTACTGGGACCTTTATCAGGGGGCGGGATGGGTATCCGTAACTTCAGTGATCCACTCTTTTCCCTTTTTTCTGCCACGTGTTTCTCAGGTTTGTCAGAGTTGGTGATGGGCAGTTTCATTTTAATGGGTGAAGTGACAGAACTGCCTGCGACTGCCGGCCCATGTTTGTGCTGCTGCTCTGCATGGGCAGCTATGTAATGATCCCGTGTGTCCAGGTCCAGGGTTTCCAGCTTCCGCTTTTCTCTGTACTTATCTAAAGACATTTTCTGAGGAACTACTCCAGGAACAGCAGGAACAGGCCCATGGTGCTTACTGCTCCCGGATTTGTGAGCGTATTCTTGCTTAGCTGATGAATGATCAGCAACTTTGTCTGGCCTGTGATGTAATCCTGAATGCAGTGTCATAGAAGGACCCTGCTGGAAGCTGATGTATTGGCTCCCAGAGAGAGTAGCCTCCTGCTTCTGTGTGTATCCCGGGTCTGTCCTGGCTGAATCTGGATGTTGAGGCCATTCTTGGTGTGACGACAAACTGTATGAGGTGCTGGGCATTCCTGCTGCCAGCACTGATAAATTATCAGATGCACGGCTGTCTTGAACGGAAGTATTTCCTGAATTTAGAGGTATTGGAGCAGGGAACGTTGACGTTGAAGGTTTCTGGAAACTTGGGTTGGCAGGCACACCAGTGACACTATCTACTAAAAGGGAATTCTGGACCAAAGATGAACCAAGCAGTGGTGTCTCTGATACTTGTCCATCTACTTTTGGTTTCTTAGCCATAGCCTAGTTAAATGAGAAACAGAAGAAACAATGACAGCACGGAAATTTAATAAAAAAGTCTTTGCTTGTAAAACTCTATAGGAAGTATATTGAAATAAACCACCTGGACTCAAGCTCTAAGGCAATAAATGGATATAACAGAAGACTGTAAGTTTTGAGAATCAGATACAATTATATCCTAACCCAGGACTTGAGATAGTAACCGGTGTAGGCTTTAGCCTCACTTGTAAAGCTACGAGAATTTCCCCATGACTAAGAATAAAAATAATTAAAAGATATATGATATAGAGAGTCCACTAGACACAGGATTAAACAACTACGAGCACCTGCAGTCCAAGTGTGGCACACTGTATTGGGAAATACTGCAAGGCGCAGTATTTAATCATTCCGTTTCAAAGCGTTCGCTAGGCAACTGCTAGGAGTGACAGATTGATATACTTTTGTTAAATCCTGCCAATTCTCTTACCCTCCAGTTTCGAATCCTCTTCAACCTACTAGGCGTTTTCTCCAATATTTGTAGAAACTCATGTGTTAGCTCTAAAAATAAAATTTAAATTTAAAGCTTAGACGGTGCCTTTAGGATCTGAACTTCTCTCAAGTGGGCAGCATTTAACAGGGGCCCTAACAGCGCATCTCTCTTTCACTGTTAACTTCCTATTCAGTCTTTAGCGTACACAGAAGTAGACACAACTCTCAACTGTTTATTTCAAAACTGAATTCATTTAAAAAATATCCCTCCAGTAGAAAAAGACAAGATCTCCTCAGTAAATTGGAAGCATGGGAACCATGGGAGAGGGTTGAAGGGGAGGGGAGAGAAAGGAATGGGAGCAGAGAAAAATGTAGAGCTCAATAAAATCAATAAGGAGAGAGAGAGAGAGAGAGAGAGAGAGAGAGAGAGCGCGCGCGCATCCTTCCCAGCATTTCTTTTGCTTACTAAGAAGATAAACTCTTGTGGGAGGTGGTGGTGGGAATCTCAACCAGACAAACAATATTGCAATATTTAACGTAGAAACGAGTCACCAATGGGTTCTTTAAAATTAGCAGGTATACGTTTGAGAAGAAGGTATTCATTTGTATATCCCTAAATGTATTTTCCCCAACAGGCTTAATTATAAAGAGAAAGAACAGTTCTACAATGAAGAACTCAACACCACCACTGTGATCAAGTGACCAGCACGATGGTAAGACACATTAAGGAACACTATCCCATGCTTTAAGAGAAAAGCCATACAACTACTGCAGCATTCTTGCCAACAATACTCAAAGTCAGAGATGAAAAAAAAAAATCAAATTGGAAATCACTCTGTAAAGTCACTTATTAGTCCTCAAATCAGAAGCAATGAGAGAGAGAGAGAGAGAGAGAGAGAGAGAGAGAGAGAGAGAGAGAGAGAGAGAGAGAACGAGAACGCCCTGATAGCCTGAGGTAACTACCTGGACATTTCAATTGGATACAAACAGAACATAAGACCCTACACAGAGAAAATAGGGAATTCTGAACAGAACCAGGTTTAATTAGCACTATCAATACCAGTGTTAATCTCCCAATCTTATAATCAAATATTATATAAGACGCCAACAACAGAAGCTATCTATCCATCTCTAAGAAAATTTAAAAACTTGTGGTTTTTAGATTTTCTTTCCTCCAAATAAACTAGAAAACAAACAAACAAAACACCCTAACCATTTAAAAGTTCCATCTTCAGCTGGCCTTAGTTGGTTAGAATATGATGCAGATTAAAAAAAGCATGAAAGGTGACTATGGGGGGTAGGTGGGAAGGAGATCTATTTATTTCTCCCAAGAGGGAGAAAAAACAAGAAAAAACAACAACATATTTTATAAGTGGGGCAGACCAACAATAGTCAGGCAAATGTGAGCTGCAGTCCCACTACTGGCTTATAAACTGCTTGTGGCTCCTTTTCAGCTGATGTGGAGCTATATTTACAACAGAAACCCTACTGCCCCACAAACTGTAGAACTCAGGGCTCTGCACTTTCTATAGTAAAGTCAGTACTTTAATAGTAACCGAGGTAAACCCTGTCTTCCCATCAGCCTTCCTCTTGTAAAGAGACTGGAAGCCTAAAAACGAGTAAGCTGAAAAATCTGTTTGTTGTCTACTTTTTTCTGAAATCGAGCACCTGCTGGAGTGCCACTCACTCACCTTAACAATCTATCTTATTTTTTATCAGGAACCACTGTCTCTTACCAGAGACACTCAAATCTCAGGTTCATAACTGGTAGGACTTGTACCTAGTTTTTTCCTAATCATTCCTAATTAATTAATAATGTAAGAGAACATCACAAGGAAGAAACCCATTGGCCTAATGTTTCACAGTTTATATAGGAAGCTAGTACCCAACTTTGAGTTTACACTTCTAAAAGTGCTTGGGGTTGAGCCTAGGACTTTATCTATTACCTAGCTAGCTACACCCTGGTCCTAGTTGAAAAAACCAAACTGTTAAGTTATAACTCCAGCTTATTCTTTATTTTTATTTCTTTGAGACAGGGTCTCCCTGTGTATTTCTAGATGGCCTTGAACCCAGGATCTATCTGCCTTTGTCTCCCAATTACTAAGATTAACAGTATGTGTCACCACACCCAGTCCATCTTATTCACGGTCCACCGACCTACAGTATTTAATGAGGCAAGGAGACAGATTAGGACAAAATACGTATATGAAAATGCCATAGTGAAACTCATTCATTACATTATTTTGTGCATAAACTTCAAAATAATAAAATTTAATAATTCTATTTATTGAAGAACCCCAAAAAGGTTTTCTGTGTGAACTGGTGGTTAGTAAACATTTCATGGTTAATGTGGTTCATAGGTTCCTTATTGCAACGTACTCTATACTTTTAAGTTCTTCCATCAGATTACTAAAATGGAATTAAATTCAGGCTGTAAAGAGACATTATCTTCTGAAATTCGAACACTAGTAAATTACAGGACATCTGGGATTAACATTAGAGCCACTGTGGTGTACGTGTGGACTGACCAACACTGGCAACTACTTCAGGTAGCTAGCTAGTACATATACAGAAAAAGCTTACAGTATAGTCTTCACATAGGAAAGGACCTCTTCCCTCTGCTTACCATCTAGCAGCTCTAGGGTAACTGTAGGGTCCACATATTCCCACCAGTGCTTTCCATCAGTTGACACAGGGATCTCCCAATTGGACCATTTGCAAGCCAAATGAATGCATACACATGCTATCACCGTGGGTTTGTACTGAAGACAGAAGGTCGTAAGATGCAAACTGGTGTAGAGTGGATTTAAAAGTGGAGGGCCACAAAAATTCAAAATATGTAAAACAAAGAAAAACATTTGCCAGTAAGACAAAAGCAAACAAAATCAGAAGTGTTTTTCTTTACATAACGATATTCTATTAAATTAAGAGTGAACACTACTGAAAATTATAATAAAAAACCTTTACATAGATCACTTCCCTCATTTTCAACCCTCCACAGCATAGTAATATTTTATTTAATTGATTAATACTAATCATTTTTTTTGTTTTAAAACCTAACAATCACACAAAGGTAAAACAGTATATTTACAATAATCATCATATACAAAATACAACCTTTTAAACCTTTTTTGTGGTAATCTTGGTTTGTTTTTTTAACATTATGAAAAACGTAACGCAAAGACATTATATAACATAGCAATTTTAATGGCACAAAGATCAGACCATTTGATGTAACTTAACAGCAAAAGTACTTCTTAGTATATCAGAGTTGTTAGTCCCTGTTCATGTTTCTGTGTCCCTTCCAGCAAAGCCTCAAAGAGAACTTACCTTTTGCAAAAAAAATTTCAAGGCTCAAAATAGGTTAATACTAAGAAATACTATCTTTACTTTTCATTATATACCAAAAATTGGGTACATGACATTTTATAGGCTAGCTTTTTAAGCCAAGGTTTTTTTTTTTTTTTAATTAGTTTTTGGAGACAGGGTCTCATGTAGCCCAGACTGGCCTCAAACTCTTTGCATAGTCAAGGACAACCCTGACATCCTGATCTTCCTGTCTCTGTCTTCCAGTGCTGGCATGACAGGGGCATGACACCATGGCCAGTGAACTAAGTTTTGCTACACCAAAAAGATAGTTTGGTGTGCTTCCACAGTGCCCACTTAAAAAACTTTCAATATTTAATACCAACCCAGAACAGAATTATGCATTCAATTTTAGAGCCTCCTTCAAACTATTTTTCTAGTTTAGAATAGGTGAAACACACAAACACATACTACATTTTCATTTTCTATAAATGGAAATTGGGACTTCTGGAATAAAGAGTGTATCTCTGCAAGCCTAGGCACTGATGATACTTGACAACTTCTAATTTACTGTTTGGAATATTATCTAGAACAAGTCTCAAATCACATAAATTTTACTTAAGAAACTTTAGCAATTATTTTAAAAGACTGGATAAATGTGAAAATTAAAAAAAGAAATGTCATTTAACTATAATTGTAAACTAGAAATAGCTTTATACTTACCAAGTTTCTAGGTTAAGTTTAGCTCTGTGTAATCTTTAGCTGCTATTCAGGCTACCAAGTTTAGACTTATGCACTCACAAATCGAGAATATGCCACCAGAAAGCACCACTACACTTCACAGTGTGCATTTAACCCCTCTGTGCCCAAAGTCCCTTGTACAATACACCGCAAAGCAACCAGGAAGGTACCACCACAGTAGATGGTCCAGTCTCCTGTTGCAACAAGGGCAAGAGACACATTGAGGGGGCCCTGCATTAAAGGAAGCTATAGTGTGCTACAACAGTGCAACAAAGAGGGTCAGGATAACAACCTGTTGGTAGCCATGAAATAGGATGTCTGTGCCAAATCCTTGCTTGCTGTAAGAAAAGAAAGAAGAACGAAGACAATATCATCAGCCTCAATGTGTAAACACCACAAAACTCTTAATACAACAAAACATCAAAGATTTGTACACAAAAAGTAAATTTTACTTACTACTTACAAATATCACAAGAGCGCCATCATTTTCTATACTACTGAAAATCTTCAACAACATTCACTCAAATGTTCTTGCTATCCCCCATAGATCTGAGAAACAAGCCGATTTGCTTTTAGCTAGGCTAAACTTGTTACTAAGTTAAGCATCTAGTCAGCTAAAAGTTGAAATAAAGCATTCTCCTGGATTTAAAAAAAAACAAAAAACAAAAAGAAGAAGAAGAAGAAGAAAAGATTTTTGAAGTCTAATACAAAAATACAAAGAGTTGCCTGCCAAACTTAATCCTGTCATCATATTTAGGTTGGCTTAAATTTCCTTCAAAATGGAACAAACAACCCCCACCCCAAACTCAGAGCACAAACCTCAGTTCTTTATCACATTATTACACATTAACAAAAAGTAGGAAGCCCCACTATTTTTTTTTTAACTTACAGACTCCAATTAAAGATAATACCCAGAAAGAGGAGTTTTCTAAGGGGAATAAGGATGCTTCCGACACTAGTCCCCAACAGGAAAGCAATTTAACTAGTTCTGTAAGACACTAAACAGTTTTTCCCCTTCTCCTACCCCATATCCTTCCCAACAGGAAGGACCTCACCAGCCCTCCCCCCTTCTGTTCAAAATCACTGTTTACCTAGCTTGGCAGCCCCAAATCCCACCCTCCCTAGTCCCCAGACTCCTTCCCCTCCTGGTTGTCACTCTTGGCACCTGAAATCCCTGCTGCCCCATGTGATCATCAAGGGAGGGGTTAACAAAAGGGACTGGGTCTGGCAGAGCTGTGCTAAGGAAGACTGTCAGAGCACCAGAGGTCTTGGAGGCAGTGTGACATAAGTATGGTATTCTTTCCTGGTGGGGAGGGAAGGAGAGATCAGAGTGAAAGGTCCCTGTAAAATGACAACAGCCAATTCTGCAGCAAAGTAGCAACTGTCTCATCTGAAGTGGGAGGTGAGGGCTTTATATGAATCACACCCACCACCAAACAAACAAACACCCCATAAAATAATAAAACTTTCAATTGTGGTAACACATTTCCTAAGGGCTGTATCAAACAGGAATGAAGGGAAAATAGTCTTGTTAGTTCAAAGTTGTAACAGGGAAGGAAATAAAGACACTAAAGATAAAAGAACATCTTTAAAGGGAGGAAGCTCAGCTACCGCAAAGATGAGACAGACAGAGCCCCCACCCACTGTGATCTCTCTCTCTCTCTCTCTGTATCAAATTTGCAGTTTTTTAAAATGTAATTTAAAATCCAGCTTTATTTCCTAAGGCAATACATACACCTTTGTTAAACACATATAATGTCTTTCTTCATTAGGTTCCTGATTTAGAGTAAATTACATGGTCTGCTGTCTTGCAAAAACTATTCTTTAACTCAACATCTACAACTAGGTAAGTTAGTTATTTAAGTCTGTACTTTACTGTAACTAGGCAAGAGAATGTGCTACAAAATAAATTTGTATGATTGTGAAGAACAGGAACCATAATTAAAATATTGTGATTTACGAAGTGATTTCACTGATAATATAATCCTAGGATTAAAAAATATGAGTCTTGCAGACTGGTGGTGGTGCATACCTTTAATCCTAGCACTTGGGAGGCAGAGGCAGGAGAATCTCTGTGAGTTAGAGGCCAGCCAGGGCTGTTACACAGAGACTCTGTTTTGAAAAAGAAAAACAAACAAACAAACAAACAAAAAATCCCACAAAAATCTTAGAACTCTACTTTGTTAGCAAGAGTGTTGGTTATAGAGACCCTAGGCTTATTTTCCTATGTTGCCAGTAGCAAAACAAAGTGCTATCTAGATATAAAATGGAATGAATTTAGAATTCAATTTAGAATGAATTACAGTGTACACACACACATACACGCACGCACGCACACTCTCCAAAACAACAACAGAAATCCCACGGTCTTCAAAAGTCTTAGCCATTTTGTTTAAAAATCCTGCAAGATACCAAAAACACAGGATCTTATCTTCAAAAGAAGGAAAAACATAGGACTGCTCCCCAGAGGCTGTGATGTACCCATAAACAACCCAGAACCAGACAAGCAACACTGGCAACCTGTGGGAAGAGTTCTAGGGCCACAACAAACACAAAGGGCTCCTGTGTTTGTTTCTAAGGCTTAATAGAAACATAGGATGTGCTTTGTTAGTTTTTCCTATTATCATACAAAAGCAACCAAATGCACTTGGAGAAACACAAACAGAAATAGATGAATACTACTATTTCAAAATCACATTTTGCCCCGCCCCCAACTGTTGAGACACGGTTTCTCTGTGTAGCCCTGGCTATCCTGGAACTCACTTTGTTGACCAGGCAGGACTTGAACTGACAAAGATCTGCCTACCTCTGTCTCCCAGGTGCTGGAATTAGAGGTGTGTATAACCACTCCCCAGCTTACATTTTCCCTTCTTAATAAAACCCAACAAAAGGCTAGAAGAATACATAGCATCCATACCAATCCTAGAGGAAAGAAAACATCAACACTCATCCCAGATGGCTGAGGGACCACTCACCTCTTACTAACTGGGTGCATTTCACTACATCTGTGTGTGGGTGTTCAATGGTGATCTCAAAACCTGAAATGAAAAGCACTTTTTTTCCCAACTACTTACCACTACAATACTTGCCTGAGCAATGCAGCTCCCCATAAGATGTCTAATACACTCTTCAGTATTAAAGAGAAATCCAAAGCCAACATTAAAGCTTCTCATTGCTGACATGTCCATTACCCTCCAGAATAAATGATAACTAGTTTCTCACGTCTCAATAGGAAAACAGACAATTATTTTAAAAATATCAAGGCCATCTTCATTTAAAATTCAGAGTTTTAATTCACCTGAGTTCAAATCATCAAATAATTATTATGGCAGCAGATTACACATTTTCTCCTTTGAACATTAAGAATCTTTGTCTCAGAAGGATGTGGGAAAAAATTTCTCATAAACATCTATCTGCTGTCAACAGCAGCACCAAAGAACTTTACATACAGCAGCTCTATTCATTTTACTGTTAAACCAAAGGGGCACAGCTATATCTCCTAATAAGAATCATGCGGACAGTGAGCTACACAGGCAGACCGTTTCTAAAAACAGCTTCAGAAACCCAAGGAAAAGTGTTGGAAAGTTTTCAATGAATATCCAATCAGCTCTTCCATGTGGCAGGATTTTTGCTTTTACTACTTAGGTTCTTTAGAATGCTTAGTCTAAAATCTAACAAATGAGTAATCAGTGTTTATAAAGGTATATTTTATTTACACCTTTCTTGTAATTAACTAGCAAAATAACACTTCAAATAAAGAGATGTTTTTAACACATACTTAAATAGCAAGCATCCATTCTCTGAGTTTACGAATGCGTCATAAGGCATGAACATCATACAGCGACTACTTTTGTTAGTGACGCTGGGGATGGAACACAGCCCCATGAACACACAAGTTGAGAGTTCTTCTATCTGACTTCTACCTTCAGCTCCTATGTAATGCTTTCATACCATAAAAATACATCTGTTTTATAATGTATCATATTAATATCAAATGTTTGTAATACATAATTTTGTAATTAAGACGTTAAGTCAAATAACTGGATTCTAACTTCCACTTATGTATTTTTTGATAAAATTTAATTCATGCACTTTAAATAAGTTACTTTTATAATAAAAATCTGTCGGCACATGTAGCTATGCTTATTTCTTTTTTTGAGACAGGGTAACTATGTAGTACTGGAAGCCCTCAAACTCACAGAGAGCCACTTGCCCTGCCTCCTGAGGGCTGAGATTAAAGGTATGTACTTACATTTCTATTTAACATTTGAAAATGGAATAGCAGTGAAATAAAAACAAAAAATTTGCTACAATAGAGCAAATCTTATACCACATATAATCAGAATGGGAATGTAAAAGGTAAGAAAACTGCCCCAAGGTTACAATGGTTGTCAGAAACTTACAGATTTAAATTTGGATCTCCTCAGAGCTTATATTTATCTGACCTCAGCCTGTTATCTAACATTCCTTTTCCTTTGGTTTTTCTTCATAGTTCTGGCTGTCCTGGAACTACCTCTGTAGACCAGCCTGGTCTCCAGAACACAAGAGTCTGCCTCCAAGCGATGGGATTAAAGGTGTGCACCACCACCACCTGGCCCCAAACTAGTTTTAAACAATTTTCTTCAATAAGAGGCTATTCTAGAAATTTTTGTTAAGAATATTACATTAGTGAACACAAAATGACATGAGCACATACCCAGTGTTTGTAGCATTATGGTTTCAAGTAAAACCAGTTCTTGAGTCTGCTGAAGATAAGCCTGTCAGACAAAAATGGTATTAGACGTTTAAAATAAACACAACACCACTAGACTCCTAGACTGTTAGACCTCATGAGGATTATAGTTCACTAGTTGCTTACAAATACAAGGCAGTAGATGGAGTATGTTTGCTCTTGGGACAAGTCTAATACAGATAGTAAACAAAGCCAAAGGAACAAATAAAACAGTGCCATGAAGCAGGGTAGGTTAACTGAATAAAGACCCACAATCTGTGCAGCGTTTAAGTTCACAGGTACTGTTGCCTCTAGACACCAAGGACAGGAGCACCAGGCCAAGGAAGAGTACTTAACTCAAACCTGATCTTGAAGAAAAAACTTACCAACTATATCTGTGAGTTAATTTTAGAATTAATTTCCCTAGAAAAGGCAAATCTTAAGAGTCCTGGATCAATGTCATCCATTCACCATAGCGACACAAACTATCACAGAATCTTTCCTTAAAATCCAAGAACCAATCTCCCTTTCTCAAAGCTCTTGGAAGAAAGAATATAGAATTTTTCCCGCTACCCCAGTCTCAGGACCCAACAATTGACCCAGATGAGAAGGAAGTGAATAGATCATATTTGAGATGGGCATGGTGGCTACTCCCTTGAGTGCTGAGGCAGAATAACTCAGTTTGAGGCTAGTCTAGACTAACTATATACAGAGCTAGACCCAAGTAGATCTGTTCTAAATGCATGCACACACACATGAATGCTCATTTTTCTGAGACCACACTAACCCAGACAGTAAAATCACCTTTAATGTCACTAAGCTGATTCTTAAAACATTAGCATGTACATACTTGAGTGAGTTTATTCTAACAGCAACTATGAGAACCACTGTCAAACAATTACAATTGCTTATTGCATGCAGTGGTTATTTTGTTCATTTAAAGATCAGCATTAATTTATCAATCTTCTATCAGAATCTAAATTTAGGACTTTAAACTTGTCCTAAATCAAATGGAACTAACAAAATTTGGTAGCTACTAGGTGAAGAGTCCCGATTGAATGACTTACCTACCCATAATGCTAGAAAAAAAGGCCCACACTTGCAGGTCTTATTTTAGGATGTCACAGAACTTGAGAAGGGTAACCAAAGGGTAACCAAACTAGAATAAACCGATTCTTACTATTCCTTCCTTTGCTAACAGTTTCACTGGAGAGTTACTCAACTTCTGGTCTTGGACACACCTACCAAGAGGCCACTTAGGACCTATCCTTTCCACTGCAGGTATGCTGTGAGGATAAGTCACTGTGGAGGTTTGATTAGGAATGGTCCCCAAAGACTCAGGGTCCACAGGGAGTGGCACTATTAGGAGGTGTGGTCTTGGTGGCGCAAGTGTGTCACTGTGGGGGTGGGCTTTGAGGTCTCATATATGCTCAAGCTATCCCCAAGTGCACCACAGATTTTATTTCTGCTGCTGTGGACCAAGATGTAGGGCTCTCGGCTTCTCCTCTAGCACTGTGTCTACCTGCATGTCGCTATGCCCTGCTATGATGAGAACGGACTACACCTTTGAAACTGTAAGCCAGCCCCAATTAAACGTTTTCCTTTATAGGAATTGCGACAGTCATGGTGTCTCCTCATAGCAATAGAGACTCTAAGACAGCCTCTGAACACTTCAAAATAACTGTGAATCAAGTAGCATGATTCAAAGCAATACAATTCAGGATGACATACAAATTCATGAAGCATAAAAAAGCATTTGTCAGATAGTTCCTAGATTCAAAGTTATAAAGAAAATGAAAACAGAACAACCCCCACTTTTACATACATCACATTTTGTATCCAGCAGTGGTTCTAGGGGGTGAAGACAAGCGTGTGCTACTTTGATAACATGTTCAAGCTTTCGAGCCTGTTCTTCCACTTTTGCAGCCAAAAACAATGCAGTAGGTGATATTATCTGCAGAAGAGATTTTTATAATTGATCATTTAGGGAATAGTCTCTACTTCCTGGAGCTGAGCAGGCAAAGAAAGGAATATATTATTATAGCATGAAGTATACATTGGCATTGATCTAAAAGACCGAAGTAAAAGCTTTCCCGTTCTTTGGTGCTGGGGATGAAACCAGAGATCTGCATGTTTAAACAAATGCTTTACCATTGAGTTGTGTATCTCCAGCACTGGTCTAATTAATTCTCATTCTTCTCTCCTCTTCCCAGACCAGTGCAGCAATAGGATACACTGTGTATCAAAGTTTGTGACACTGATATTTTCAAGATTTAGCACCACAGGACCAGTGTCAGTATTACAAGTTTTAAGTCATTATTCACTACATTGGTTTTGCAAATAAGATTTTGACCTTGGCTAAGTAAAAAACAAGCAAACAAACTTTAGTATTAGTGTGTATACAGTGGAAGTAAAGGAAAAAATAATACAAAGTGATTTCACAGCTTTAGAAGAGTTGAAACAAAAGGCCAAGTACACTGCACTGCCTCCTCTTTCGGCTCAGCCACTACTTCTGAGTGCTTTCTAAGTCCAGCACCAGCTTCCTGTGTGGCTAGGAGCCATGCTATCTTATGTATGGGGCGCAACACAAAGAATTCTAAAAATGAACAGGCTACATAGAATCTTCACTACACTAATAAAAGCAGCTAAAAAACTGAACCAAAACAACAACAAAAACAAAATAAAACAACACAAAACAGGAGAAACATAATAAAGACAGAGAGCAGAACCTTTGCTAAGAGAACATCTGGAAAGTTCCTACCCCATAAAGTATAGTAAGGCAAGTTCTTGGGGTATAAGTACAGATAGCACTAATTACACTGGCATTGACGATGATAGAGACACACAAATTCCAACAATTACCTACTCCTTAAACTATTATAAACCAAACAATTACTGACTCAGAAACCAAACAAACTAAAAAAAAAAATTTTTTTTTAAAAAAAGATTCTACACAAAGGAGCTGGAGACACCTCAGCAGTTTAGAGCACTTGTTACTCTTATAGAGGACTCAGGTTCGATTCCCAGCACCCACACCATGGCTCACAACCATCTGTAACTACAGTTCTAGGGGTTCCAATGCCTTCTTCTACACCCCAACGACACGGTGCACAGGCATACATGCAGGCAAAGCGCACGCACACACACACACACACAAGTTTAAAAATTATACACAAAAATTCCCCACAGAAAGGTAACTTTTAGATGCTAAGATGCAGGTACCTATTGTTCAAAAGGCAAACAAACATCTGTCTAGTATACAGGGACCATTCATAATACAACAATGAAGGGAGGCGGGGAAAGACGAAAAACTTATCACTAACAGATTTGTGCCTTCGGTGTAGGGAAAGAAACACCTTTTCTGAAAATGTTGGTGACTGATAGGAAATCCATATTGGACTGTGGATCTGAAGAGGACTTTTCCAGCTTAACTGCATTAGCACTAGAGTAAGTAGAATAGAAATGATTTTGAGAAACTCTTTTTCTGTAGAACTTGAGACGGTCTCACAATCTTGGCTGGTCTCTCAAGGGATCCTCTGCCTCTGACGTCTGAACAAAGGGGTTAAAGGGGTATGCTACCACATTGAACTTTGGTTTCTATTACAATTTGTGTGTTCAATAACTCTCAAAGGTCCTCAATAAAACAAAGGTAAGTGCTTCCCCACAGGCTTGCATACAATCTAGAAGGGAACAGCTAGGTAATCTAGCCTTCACATGCTAATAATAACAAGAGGAAAGCAATAGAAATTCAAATGAAAAAACCAAGGCAGATTTAAATCTTCCCAACTACAGTTCTCCTATTTGCTCAAACACAATTCCCAATGGTTGTATCTCCCCATTCTCTTCACACTAGCAAGAAAAACAACACACACACACACACACACACACACACACACACAAAGAAAACAAAGATAGCTAGATGGTGGTGGCTCACACCTTGAATCCCAGTACTAGGGGGGCCCGCCTCGTCTACAGATTGAATGCCAGGACAGCTCAGACTACACTCAGAAAATGTTTCGAAAATAAATAAATAAATAAATAAATAACCCTTGGAAGATAAGACAGCCTCAAATGCATTCCAAAGTGCTACACTGCTTTTTAAAACATGAAGCATACAAGGAGTCAGGCAGGAATCTTTGGTTTGGACACCCATATTTTCTCATGGAAGTCTTTTTGGTCCCCATAAACACCTTAAGTCTTGTCTTCTTCAGTACAATACTAATCCCAACACTCCAAACAGTTCCTGGAAAACCCCCTAACTCCATCCTACACCTCTACAGCTCACAGACATCTTACCCCACGAGGGCTGCACAACAAAATCACCTTTTTAGACAGATAACTGGTAACAGCACCTGAGGCTTTAATTTTAAGGTTGACTAAGGGAGGTGATCAGACCAGGTACTACTGCTTTTCATATGGAAGACTGACTTCTGGGCAGCTTAGAAGAATTTCTGAGGTTTTGGGCAACAGAAG